AAAAAACTAATTTTGGCTTTATTGATTTTCTCCATTGTACATTTATTTTCTATTTCATTTATTTCTGCTCTTTACGACTTCTTTCTTCTTGTCTGATTTACTGTTTTTTCCCTAGCTTCGTAAGATGGAAATTTAAAACACTGATTATTTTGTATTAGTTTTAGGTGTACAGCACAGAGGTTAGACAATCATACTTTACAGTGCCGCCCCACCCCCACCATATTTCCAGTACCCATCCAGCACCATACACAGTTATTACAATATTATTGACTAGATTCCCTCTGCTGTACTATACATCACTTTATTTTCATTCTCTGTGTGTCTTTTGATCTGAAGTAGATCTCTTGTAGACAGCATATATAGGGGTCTTGTTTTCTTATCCATTGAGCTACCCTGTGTCTTTTGATTGGAGTATTTAATCCATTTACATTTAAAGTTATTATGGATAGATATGTATTTATTCCCATTTTATTCTTTATAATTATGTTTCTCTTTTTTCCTCCTTCTTCTTAAAGAAGTCCCTTTAACATTTTTTTGTAATACTAGTTTGGTCATAATGAACTCCTTTAGCTTTTTTCTTGTCTGGGAAGCTCTTCATTCTCCTTCACTTTTAAACAATAGCCTTGCTGGGTAGAGAAGTCTTAGTGGTAGGTCCTTGCTTTTGATTACTTTGAATATGTCATGCCCATCCCTTCTGGCATGAAATGTTTCTGTTGAGAAATCAGCTGATAGATGTATGGGAGCTCCATTGTAGGTAACTGTTTTTTTCTTGCTGTTTGTAAGATTCTTTATTTTTAACTTTTGCCATTTTAATTATAATGTGTCTTGGTGTGGGCCTCTCTGGATTCCCCTTGTTTGGGATTCTCTGTGCTTCCTCAACTTGTGGGTCTATATCCTTCACCAGATTAGGGAAGTTTTCAGTCATTCTTTTTTCTTTTTTTAATTTTTTTTTTCTTTATTGATTTTTAGAAAGAGGAAGGGAGAGGGAGAGAGAGATAGAAACACTGATGAGAGAGAACATCGAAAGGCTGCCTCCTGCATGCCCCCCCCCCCCCGGGGATTTGGCCCACAACCTGCGCATGCACCCTGACCAGGAGTTGAACCTGCAACCTCTTGGTGCATAGGTTGACACTCAACCACTGAGCCACACCAGCCGGGCAGTCATTATTATTATTATTATTATTATCATCATTATCATTATTATCATCCTTACCTGAGGACTTTTTCTTTGCATTTATTTTCAGACAGAGCAGGAGGGTGAAAGGGAGGATGAGAGAGAAAGAAACATCGATGTGAGAGAGACACATCGAGTGGCCAGGGCAGAAGACAAACTACAACCCAGGTATGTGCCCTTAGCGGGAACCGAACACAGGACTCTCTGGTCCATGGGCCAATGCTCTATTTTTTTTAATCCTCACCCGAGGACATTTTTCCATTTTTTGTACAGATACAGTGGGAGGGAAAGAGAGGAAGGGAGAGAGACAGAGAAACATCGACGTGAAGGGACGCATCGAGTGGCTGCCACCCGCACGACCAACCAGGGCCAGGGACAAACTGCAACCGAAGTACGTGCCTTTAGCGGGAACCGAACCCGGGTCTCTCCAGACCGCAGGCTGATGCTCTAACCGCTGAGCCAAACTGGCCAGGGCGGCCAATGCTCTAATCACTGTTCCAAACTGGCCAGGGCCAGTCATTATTTTTTCAGTAGAAGAAATAGTTTTCAATCCCTTGCTCTCTGTCTTCTCTTTCTGGTACCCATATGATGTGGATGTTGTTACACTAGATATTGTTCCAAAGGTCCCTTAAACTATCTTAATATTTTTATTGACTTTTAGAGAGAGGAAGGGATAGAAACATTGATAAGAGGGATACATCGATAAGAGGGAAACTTGATTGGCTGCCTCCTGCATGCCCCCCACTGGGGATCAAGCCCATTACCTGGGCATGTGCCCTGACTGGTAATTGAACCTGCAGCCTCTTGGTGTTGTGTCAACGCTCAACCACTAAGCCACACTAGCCAGGCAACTATCTTAATTTTTTAAAAATTCAGTTCTGTTTAGGTGTCTTCTGCTGTCTTGTCTTCCAAATAGGTGATTCAGTCCTCTGCTTCATCTAACTTGCTGTTGAGTCCTTCTAGTCTATTCTTCATTTCAGGTATTGTGTTGTTTTAATGATTTCTATGTCCATGGTTATGCTTACTAGCTCTCTTTTAAGGTTCCTACTGAGTTATTCATTCTTCTCCCAAGTTCCTTAAGATCCTTATAATCATTGTTTTGAACTGTATATCTGGTAGACTGCTTGCCTCCATTTCACTTGATTCTTTTTCTGGGAATTTTTCTTATTCTTTCATTTGGGGCATGTTTCTTTAATTTCCTATTTTGGCTGCCTCTCTGTATTTTTTTCTCTGTATTAGGTAGATATGCTATGTCTCCCAGTCTTGGTAAGGTGGCTTTATATCGTAGGTGCCCTGTGGAGTTCAGTGGTACAGTCTCCCTGATCACTCGTGTGGGTGATGTGAGCTCTCCTGTTGTAGCCAAGAATTCATTGCTGTTAACCTGTCTGTGGTTGGGGTTGACCCTGAGGCTGACTGACTATGAGGGTTGACCCCAACTACTGTGTATGACCCCACAAAGCAGAATTTGCCCCAGAAGCATCTCATACCTGCTGAGATCTCCCTTTGGATATACTGCTTGTGGAGCTAATTGGGTCATGCTCTGATGTGATCTGAAGCCTGCCTACCAGGTATATTGGATCTTGGGTTGTGTGGGAGGGAAGATGATGTAGGTCAATGTCAAACATTGCCTGTGATGAGCCCTGGGCTACCTGTTTGGAGCTACAAAGCAATCCACAGTTGTGGCTGCCTCAGATAGATTTGGGTGTATGTGGGAGAGGCCAATCTATGTACCAGGGTGGCTTCCACCAGCACCAAGACTGTGGTCAAGTCAGCAAAAATAGTCTTTTTTACTTTTTATCATAATTGTAATTAAGGCTATAACATTCCTTGTGAGCATCTGGCAAGTTGTGATATGTTTTGTCTTCATTATTATTCTCTTAAAAGTATTCCCTAATTTCCATTGTAATTTTATCTTTCACCCGGAATTATTTAAAAATGTACTACTTGTTCCTTGCTAGCTTAATATCATTATAATCAGAGAACATATGTAAAAAATAACACAAGATATGACTAACTTTGATAAATGTGCAATGAGCACTTGGAAATAATATATTCAGTCACTGTTCATTGTTATGAATATGTTCTCATTTTTCTTAGGGAAATATCTAGCAGTAAAGTGGCTGGGTCATAGAGTAGATATATGTTTAACTATATAAAATACTAAGCCGTTTTCCAAAGTGGTTTTGCTATTTTCTTTTCTTTTTTTTTATCCTCACCCAAGGACATTTTTTCATTTTTTGTTCAGATAGAGTGGTAGGGAGAGAGAGGGAAAGAGAGAAACATCGACGTGAAAGGGACACATCGAGTGGTTGCCACTTGCATGATCCAACCAGGGCCGGGAACAAACTGCAACCGAGGTACATGCCCTTAGCGGGAACTGAACCTGGGTCTCTCTGGACCGCAGGCCAATGCTCTAACTGCTGAGCCAAACCAGCCAGGGCGGTTTTGCTCTTTTCCACTTTCATTACCAATACATGATTTATAGCTAATCTGCTTCTTGACAGTGCCTGGTAATGTAAAGTTTTATTAAAATGGCCAAAAGCCGAAACACTGACAATACCAAATGTTGGTGAGGATGTGGAATAACAAGAACTCTCGTTCACTGTTGGTGGAATGCAAAATGGTATGGCTACTTTGAAAGACATTTTGGCAGTTTCTATCCAAAGTAAACAAACTCTTACCATAAAATCCAGCAACTGCACTCCTTAGTATTTACCCAAAGGAGTTAAAAACTTATGCCCACATAAAACCTACATACAAATATTTATAGCAACTTTATTTATAATTGTCAAAGCTTGGAAGAAACCAGGATATCCTTCAGTAGGTGAATGGATAAATAAATTATGGTACATTGAGACAGTAGGATATTATTCAGCACTAAAAAGAAATGAGCCATCAAGCCATGAAAAGGCACTGGAGGAACCTTAAAACATATTACTAAGTGAAAGGAGTCAACTGAAAAGGCCTTCTGGCTACATACTACATGATTACAACTCTGTGGCATTCTGGAAACAGCAAACAATGGAGACAGAAGAAAGATCAGTGGTTGCCAGGGACTGGGGGAGGGAGAGATGAATAATTAGGTGGAACATGGGATATTTTTTTTTTAATCCTCACCTGAGGACATTTTTCCATTTTTTGTACAGATAGAGAGGGGAGGGAGAGAGAGGAAGAGAGAGAGAGAGAGAAACATCGATGTGAAAGGGACACATCGAGCGGCTGCCACCCACACGACCAACCAGGGCCGGGGACAAACTGCAACCGAAGCACGTGCCCTTAGCGGGAACCGAACCCGGGTCTCTCCAGACCACAGGCCAACGCTCTAACCGCTGAGCCAAACCGGCCAGGGCAGAACATGGGATTTTTAGGGCACTATTCAGCATGATACTGTAATGACAGATACATGTCATTACACATTTGTCAAAACTGTAAGAATCTACCACACCAAGAGTGGATCCGAATGTAAATATGGATTATAATGTGTCCACTAAAATATGGACTGTAATGTAGGTTTATCAGTCATAACAAATGTACCACTGTGGTACAGGATGTTAACAGTAGAAAAGGCAATCCATGTGTAGGGGTGAAAGGAAACTCTTTGTACTTTCTGCTTAACTTTGCTGTGAACCTATAACTGTTTCCAAAAGAAAAAAAGTCCATTAAAAAACATAGATCTTAACCATCTATTAATACTTCTATCCAGATAAAACAGTTGTTCCCACTATGGATCAGAAGGCAAACCACTACCTGCTTATTTCTAAAACTTAGCTTCCAAAATCATCTTAACTGGTAATTTAAGGATCACAATGAGGATCAAAGAACTCACTTTTCAATTCTCTTCCTGTGTTCTTTTTGCTTTTGTTGTTCTTTTACTTGTTCTCTTTCAATACTCATGAAAAGTCGTCTATATCTCAGGTACCGCTTTTGACGCTAAAGGAAAGAAGTTAAAATTGTTAAGATTCTGCTCTCAGAGGACTTTCCAAGGAAGAAAAATATCTTTGTGCATTAGACAAGAAAACTATATGATACAGAAGTTACATGGAACTAAGTCCTTAATTTCCTTCTATTTATGGTGGCTCAGGATAATATCACATACAGCAAGAGCTTTAAATTTTCAAGCACATAGCTATTGCATGTTACAGACAAGTCAGAGAAAGAAGTACTAATTTAGTTTGCCCTTAGTATAGTCCCTTCTCAACTGCACTTAAGGAAATGACTATATTTGATATGCTAAAATATATACTATATTTACTATTTCCAAGTATCATAGAAGTAGGGCCACGAAAGAATGTAAGATGTATTTTTATAACAGAACAATGGTCACTAACTTTTCAAAATTAAAACACCACAAAAGCATACTCTTGGCCTAGCCTGACAGTGGGGGGAGGAGAGGAGGACTGAGGACTATTACAGTGTGTTACACTTTTAAAGAGAACGAGTAGCCCTGGCCGGTTTGGCTCAGCGGTTAGAGCATCGGCCTGCGGTCCTGAGAGACCCGGGTTCGGTTCCCGCTAAGGGCGCGTACCTCGGCTGCAGTTTGTCCCCGGCCCTGGTCGGTTGTGCGGATGGCAGCCACTCGATGTGTTCCTTTCACGTCGATGTTTCTCTCTCTCTCTGTTTCTCTCTCTCCCTCCCACTCTACCTGAACAAAAAATGGAAAAATATCCTCGGGTGAGGATAAAAAAAAATAAAATAAAATAAAATAAAAAAATAAAGAGAACGAGTATAACAAAAGCAAGTGCTACTATTATGTGTGATACGTTCCTACCTCTGGATTTATATATTCTCTTTTAAGGACACAAGCTACTCAAATGGTACTAGTATACACACAGACATTGTTTTGCCTTTTGAGTAGCTTGTGTCCTTTCAGTAAAAACATTAAAAGTATAACAGCAGTACCTAATATTGAAGGTACAGCACAATCATCAGTGATACTTTAAAAAAACAGATGCCACAAACCTACTTTTTCAGATATCAAAAGAAAAATACATATCTGCAAAAAGCTCCAGTCTGATTCTGATGCATAGCCAGTGTTAAAAACTGTTGGTTTAAACTAACTTTGGATTGAAAGGGGGATAAAAAGGAAGCCATAAATTAAAACTCTTCCTTTCAACAAGTTATTGTGGCAAATATCATAACTGAAGGAATTCACTAGGATTATTTCTCCGATTTCACATCAAAGTACCCCAAATCCTGGAATCTTAGAAGAGAAGTTTAACGTAGTATAATGACTCAAGTAATTTCTTTGCCTTTATCTATGGAATTTGTAGTATTAGTTCTTTATTATTAGAATATAACAAATCATTTCTAATTTCACATATACTATTACAGTAGGAACACTGGTGTCCAAAGGCAATTATCCTTACATACCTCTTTCTTGTCTTCTTCTTGATCTACTCCAAACTGAAGTGCCAGTGGAGTTTGGAATTCAGTGTTCAATCCTGATTGATATCTATCATGAACCTGTTAAAAAGTCCAGTCACACAAAGTGACAAAACTGCCAAATGCCATGCATGCTTTTGATACTTTCATCTACTGATTCTTTTCTCCTGCAACCTTGAGTACAACTGAATAAAATACCAAAATATATATAAGAATAAAAGGAAGCAGTTTCAGAATAAATAACCAAATAAAAAACAATAAACCAAAGGAAAAAATTCAAGTAAAAAACACAGATGAACTAATAACAAATCAAAGTGTTCAGAATGAAAGTTCTTCTAAAGTGGTCACTTAACATCATTCTTTCGTGAGTATGGTTGGGATTGAATCCAAGATATAAACCAGCTCCCTTAATATATATAAGTATTTTCAATTTACACAACTCTCTTGAGAATAAGAACTGAAAAGATTATAACAAACAACTGACACAGCAGAGAGGAAACTGGAGCTATTTCTCCCACATTACTAAGAATGCCTTATGACATAATTTGGTATGATACTTACTCGGTCATCACATGGGTCAAATTATGACCTCTAACTTTTAGAAATAAAAGCTTTAAATTACTTTTATATTTTTAAAAATCATGTTTTATTGATTTTTTAGAGAGGGAGAAGAGGAGAGAGAGAAACATTGATCAGCTACCTCCTGCTCTCTACCCAGGACTGAGCCTGTAACCCTGGCATGTGCCCTGACCGGGAATCAAACTGGCAACCTTTTTGTGCATGGGATGGCGCTCAACCAACTGAGCCACACGGCCAGGGCACTTTTATCCTTTTAGCTTAAAAGTTATTTATTTTTCAGGAAAGTTGCAGGATATAAGAACAGTATACAAAAATCAATTGTATTTCTATATACTTGCAATAAACAATCTGAAAATAAAATTAAGAAAAAAATCCATTTATAATACCATCTAGAAATACTTAGGAATACATTTTTTAACAAAGAACATGTAAATGTTATACTCTGAAACCTAAAGAACATTGTTGAAATAAATTAAAGATTTAAATGAATGGAAAAGACATCTTATGTTCATGGCTTGGCAGACTTAATGTTGTTGAGATGGCAGTACTACCCAAACTGATCAACAGATTTAATGCAATCAAAATTTCAGTTGTATTCTTTGTAGAAATTGACGAGATGATTCTTAAATTCATATGAAAATGCAAGAGACCCAAAATAGCTGATGATCTTGGAACAGAAGATAAAGCTGGAAGAATCACTGTTTCCAATTTCAAAACTTACTACAAAAGTAAAGTAATCAAAGAGAGTGTAGTACCATCATAAGGGCAGACATATAGGTCAACAAAATAGAAATGATATTTCAGAAATAAATCCTTATATTCACACTAAAATGATTTGACAAGAGGGTCAAGAATTCAATGGGTAAGAATAACATTTTACTTTTTATTTTTAAATTATTTTTGTTATAGATGTTTTCAACAAATAGTGTTAGAATAACTGGATGTCCACATGAAAAAGAATAAAGTTGGACCCCTATCTAACACTACATACAAAAAGTAACTCAAAGTGAATCACAGACCTAAATGTGATAGAGATAAAATTCTCATAAGAACACATAAGAGTAAATTTTCATGATCTTGGATTAGGCGATGATTTCTTAGATAGGACACCAGGATCAAAAACCACAAAAGAAAAAACAGATAAACTGGTCTTCATTAAAATTAAAAACTTTTGTGCTGCAAAGGAAACTATCAAGAAAGTAAAATGACAACCTACAGAATGGGGAAAAAAATTTGTAAATCACATAACTAATAAGGAACCTGTATATAGAATATATTAAGAACTTATATAAATCAATAATCAAAAAACAAAAATTCAATTATAGATTGGGCAGAGAATCTAATAGGCAATTTTCCAAAGAAGATATACACATGGCCAATAAGCATATGAAAGATGCGCATCATTAATCATCAGGAAAATATGTCAAAACCATCATGAAATACTCTATCACACTCATTAAGATAGGTGTAATTAAAAAGACAGGTAATGCCCAGCCGGTGTGGCTCATTGGTTGAGCATCAACCCATGCACTAAGAGGTCGCCCATTTGATTCCCGTTCAGGACACATGCCCAGGCTGTGGTCCCGATCCCCAGTGCGGGGCATGCAGGAGGCAGCCAATCGATGTTCTCTCTCACTGATGTTTCTATCTCTCTCTCTTCCTCTCTCGCTAAAATCAATAAAGACAAATTAAAAAAAAAAAAAAAAAAAGACAGGTAATAACAAGTGTTGGTGAGAATGTAGAGAATAGGAACCCTCACATACTGCTGGTGGGAATGAATAATCTAGTACAGCCACTTTGGACACCAGTGTGGCATTTCCTCAGAAGGTTACGCATAAAGTAGTATATGTCCCAGCAATTCTATATATGTATATATATATCTCCAAAAGAAATGAACATATCAACAAAAAACTTGTACACAAATGTTCACAGCAGCATTATTCATAATAGCCAAGAAATGGAATCAATCCAAATGTCCATAAACTGATAAATAAATAAAATGTGCTAAATGCATAAAATGGAATATTATCCAATGGACAGGAATGAAGTACTGCTATATGCTACAAGATCGATAAACTTTTGAAAACATGATGCTCAGTGAAATAAACCAGTCACAAAAGTCCATATATTGCATGATCCCATTTATATGAAATGCCCAGAAAAGGCAAATCTAGAAACAGAAAGCAGACTAGTGGTTGCCTAGGGCTGGGGGTGGGGTGAGGGAAAAAATGGCTGCTAATGGGTACAGGACTTTTTTGGGTGATAAAATTTTTTCTGAACTTGGTTGTGGCAATGTTTGCACAACCTTTTGAATATACGAAAAACAGTGAACTGTATAGTTTAAATGAGTGAATTTAAGGGTATGTAAATTAGTCAATCTTCCTTATTCACATATTCCTTATTTACGCATTCACCTATTTGTTATATTTATTTGAAATCCCGAAATCAATACTCACGGTGTTTTTGTGGTCATTTGCAGACATGCACAGAGTTGTGAAAAATTTGAATCGCCAAATGTAGACATTATCAGCTGAGATTGAAAGGTTTCGTTTCAGCCTTCATACTGTAAACAAGTACCCTTTTCAAGATATATTTAGTGCCAAGTTTTTTGCTTTTTGTTGGCGATTTTGCTGTTTAAAATGGCCCCCAAGCACAGTGCTCCAGTACTATCTAGTATTCCTAAGCATAAGAAGGCTGTGATATGTCTTATGGAGAATATACATGTATCAGACAAGCTTCATTTAGGCCCTGAGTTCAATGTTAATTAATAAAAAATGTACAGGGTGGGGCAAAAGTAGGTTTACAGTTGTTCATATGGAAAATAATACAATAATTAATAAATAGTACAAGAATAAACTCTGTGTTTTGCATACTCATAACTGCAAACCTACTTTTGCCCCACCCTGTATATTAAATAAGGGGGTCTTTAAACACAAATTCACATAAAACAAAGTAATATATTGATTAGCTAACAAAAATGTGATCAGGGGCTCATAGGAACCTAACCTTGTATCTACTCTAGGAAGCAGTGGTTTGGTACTCGCTAATTTGATGTTTGAGACAACTTTATAGAACATAACTACCATGGATAATAAGACTTGACTATATGTCTCAATAAGGCCATTACTATTATTATTATTTTTTTTTTATCCTCACCCAAGGACATTTTCCCATTTTTTTGTTGTTATTGTTCAGATAGAGTGGGAGGGAGAGAGAGGGAGAGAGAAACATCGATGTGAAAGGGACCCGCACAACCCAACCAGGGCCAGGGACAAACTGCAACCGAGGTACATGCCGTTAGCAGGAACCAAACCCGGATCTCTCTGGACCTCAGGTTGATGCTCTAACCACTGAGCCAAACCAGCCAGAGCAAGGCTATTATTTTTTAAAGTTATTTGTTTGTTATAGATAAAATTGGAAAATGAAAAATAGCAAAAGGTTTATGGTGGTTCTCTCCAGAATTTTTGTGGGTTTTTTTCTTTCTGTTTGTGCTTACTTTTGCTACAATAATAATGAAATTATTTTTTGCTTTCAAAAAAGAAAAACTGGACTTCCAGCACTAGTGAAGGAGTAAGCCCACTACTGGCCTCTGTCTCTCTAGCTGATTATAATTAAAAATGTGGTCTGCGGAATCTGGAGAGTGTAGGAGGTAGGTATCCTGAAGAGGAGCAAGCTAGAAAAGTGGATCCTTTAATTCTGTGTATGAACTGGCACATATCTCAGAGTCAGCCTGAGCTGTGCATGCACAGGGTGGATTAGAAGTACAATGAAGGCTTTGAGAACTGAACTAACACTGCAGCCACTGTTCAGAGAAGGTGAGAAACTACTGAAAGTCTGAACCTGCTACAAACAAAAAAAGATGCAACATTTTAAGCAGATTTTAACAGAAACCAGTGTTACAATATAATATTCAAAATTAGACACAGAAATAAAAGTGGCAAGAGAATCCAAAATATGGATCCAAAGAAACAGTAGAAATAGGAAGAATGGCAAAAAGTAAATGGCTGAGGTAGTTTTTGTGTGATGGCTTCAATTTTCTTCATGAAAGCCAGAGAGTACGGGGGAATAGCAAGAACGTCAACAGGTGTTTAAGGTTTAGAATTTTCAGTTGGGCTATGGGAAGGGCAGGCAAGAAAGATGCTAAGCAGTACTGGGGACCCAGCTGGAATTGTAAACACTAATATGAATGTGGTTCAAATTTACATTTTCTCCTATAAGATTCAATTATTTGGGAACCTAAAATGAGAAAAGACTAATCAAGGACTGAGGATTTTCAGGGCTGGATGGCAGAAGGACAAGAAGAGGCTGTGACTACAAAGCCACACCCTCCATTGAACAGCCAGGGTTAGGTACCCTCTTCGTGCTCAATTAATGCCCTATGCATGCTCTACAACCAGTTACGTTGTTTCATAACCATCTGCTTATGTCTCAGTCTCTCTTTAGAAATTTGAATGCTGTGTCTTGCAGCAGAGCTCTATCTTTGATATTTAGTACCTAAATAATAGCTAACACCTAACAGGTGCTCAATAAATGTTTGACTGACTAATTAGTTCAAAATATATTTAGTAAGAGACTACCAGGTACGAGTGCTGTGCTAAAGGCTGCCCTTACAGTGGTAAACAAAACAGGGGGTACCTCTCCTCATGAAGCTTACAGACCAGTGGAAAAAGTAAATAATTACAAATTGTACAAAGTGTTTTGTTTACTGAGGAGAAAACAGAATGCAGGGATTAAAAAACAAAAACAAAAAAACAGAAGAGGGTAGATTTATTTTTGATTTTGCTCAGGGTAGTCTTTTCTAAGATGATATTTTAGCCGAAACCTGAAGGATGAGAAAGGACCAGCTTTGTGAAGAAAAAAGAGAAGAATATCCAGGTAGAGGGAAAAACTATGCAAAAGACCTGAGGAAGGAAAGAGCCTGGCACAGTTCAGGATATATAAATGACGAACCAGGCTAAAACATAACAGCAAGCTCTTAGTCCAACCTTATAGGCCCAAACTAAAAATCACAAAAGAGCAGCAGTTTAGTTCTGCAAACCTCAGCCCAAATCCTACTTTCTGCCTTTTTGCCTTCTTTTCTTTCTGCTCTATAAAAGAGCCAAAAGGAAATTTTGCTTTATCTTTTTCATATATCGTAACTGCTAGTTGCCTTAAAGGATGTTTTTAAAATAACAACATAAAACTACAAGATAGAAATTATCCAGACAGTGATAAAATTATAATGAAAATAAACTAGACTTTAGTCAAGACATGGAAAAATCTTAGTAGGCCAGGGCATTTTAATATTCTCTTGAAAAACTGTTGATTTCAATACACCAAAACTTAAGCAATATAACATAATGCTAACAAGCTACAGCCCAAACTCTGAATAGTTTATTTCTTGGTAATCCTTATGCTCTACCACTTATTGAGATCCAGTCCTGGTCATTGGGTAGAAGATCCTCCCGATCCCTCCCCCTCAGAAACCACTCATTTCTTCTCTTCTCACACCATAAAGAGAATGGCTACCAGCCCTGGCCAGTTTGGCTTAGCAGTTAGAGCATCGGCCCACAGACCAAAGAGTCGCAGATTCGACCCCGGTCAAGGGCATGTACCTCAGTTGTGGTTCGGCCCTGGCCCTGGTCAGGGTTGTGTGTGAGGCAACCAGTCAATGTGTCTCTCTCACATCACTGTTTTTTGCGCGTGCGCGCGCGTTCTCTCTCTCTCTCTCTCAGCTCTCTCCCCCACTCCCTCCCACTCTATCTAAAGATAAATAGAAAAATGTCCTTGGGTGAGGATTAAAAAAAAAAGAGAGACTGGCCACCAGAAATATACACCTTTTATAAAACATACATATATAGTTTTTCCAAGAGGCAACAGGTGCTCCTGACAATACCCTAGGTTTCAGTTAGAGCCTTAGAGTAATCTTAGATCAGGATAGATTTTACATACTATGAAATATAAAGTAAAACAAGAATTTGCTTTTTACTCAGCCTTACCACTCCCAGATCAGTAAGTGCCTATAATCTTGTTTACATTCTACTGCTCATAGTCTGTGGTCTGCTCTACCTGTCTTCTGCTGGAAGCCTCTCTCCGGTGTTTGGGTGGAAGATACTGATGGCCATCTGGAAACAAATCTTGCCATCTTTCAGCTGTCCCAACAGACAGCTGCTGCCTGGAGTACAAACTCTAAAAGATACAAAAGCACAATGGAAGTAAAAATACTGTAGGCTGCAATGACAGCCCTAAGGTAATCTAAATAGGTCAGACTTGTCCAGTACATTATGGCATAAAAGTAGACATTATATTTCTTATGACTATTATGGATCTTAACTTTATCCACAAAGCAATCTTAAGTTTCTTCACCTATAAAACAAGGATAATAACAAAATCTATCTCCCAGGATTATTGTGAGAATTAAATGAGACAATGGACACAAAGTTCTAGAACAACTTTAGCTATGATAAGTGCTTAGAAATGTAAGCTGTTAGTCATATTAATATTGATATTATTAATAAGAAATAACACTATCACCATTATCATCATCACTATTGCTAGTAGCATATCTCTGGCAAGCCCATATCAAACTGATTACTCTCTGCTGTTTACTGTTCACTTTATTCCGCTCTACCTGCTCTCTGGCAGAGCCTGGACCCTGGGTTTAATGTAAGACATATTCATGGCACTCCAGAAATAACTCCCTTCTCCATGTCTCAACTTTCATACTATGTGAGGCCTGCTGGTAGTTCCTGCACTAAAAGGCAACATAAATGATAAACACCAATTTTCCGAGCAGGAGCATCATGCCAGGGTAATAGTAAATGCTTCCGTGAAGAGGCCTTAAGTCATTTCTACAGGTCAGAATGGTGTGATACAACACAGAACAAGAGGACATTATATGTGTCCATTATTACTGACCCCAAACCCCTGAGGCAGTCACTACAATGCCCTGTCAATCTTGAGCCAAAACCTAAGCAATTCACTCTCTGCTGCTTCCTCCTCACTACAGCATGCTCTACTTACTCTCTGGGAGAGGCTAGGTCTTTTTTTTTTTTTTAATTTTATTTTTGTTACAGATCTTTCTCCTTTGAGAGGCTAGGTCTTGAATACTGGGTGAAACATGCCAATGGCGCTCCAGAAGCAATTCCTCTTTCAAACTTCCATTTCTTAAAAGATGAGGGTTACTTGATATAGTAGTTTTAAAGGAACAACAAAATACAAAACTGTCTAAGTAGAAATGATGGGTTAGTGACAATAATGTACACTTCAGTGACAACCCCAGAATAATAATACTAGGGTGGGATAATTTAGCAGTTATGGATGTGCGTGTCTGTGTTTAATATAAAATTCCCAAACACACATCAAAGTAGAGAAAAAACAGTATAATGAGTCCCCAGATATCCATCACCCAGCTTCAATAATTAGCAACATTTTATTTTTTCATCTATCTTCTCTCATTTTTTTTTCTTTTTTCTGGAGTATTTTTAAGCAAATCCTAGATTATTCTGGTACTTTTTCTTTTTGCACAGGAAAACTCTTTATTCAACAACATATTCAAAAGAAGAGAAGTCAATGAGGCAATATTTTTATAATGTTGTATTTTCCCAAGGTAAAGCCTGGAAACAAGCTGGTATCATTTCCACAAGTACATCTACTTGGTGTCCCCAATAATTCCCTGCACAAACACTAGAGGTGGCAAAGTCCAGGAAGTTCTGAGGCAGCAAACAACCTGTTTCATCCTTCATCATAACTGGCTTGCAGACTGGATGCCTGGGCTTGGTGTGCTGCTTCAGTGGACCAAGAGTAGAATCCCTTCGGTATTTATAAAACAATGTATAAGGCAAAAAAAATATGCTAAAGGACTTGAGTTTTAAAAAAACAATGTACTATTAACCAATCAATATTATATAAAACCTGTCTCTTAGTTAACCCAAATGATAGAGGTATGCCTTCTCACCTAGAGTCTTTAGAATGGGCTTGCTTTTTTTTTTCTTTATTGGTTTGAGAGAGAGAGGAAGTGAGAGGGAAAGAGAGATAGAAACATCGATGAGAGAGAACATCAACTGGTTGCCTCCTGCATGCCCCCCACTGGGCATGTGCCCTGACCAGGAATTGAACCAGCGACCTCTTGTTGCATGGGTCAACGCTCAACTATTAAGCCACACTGGCCGGGTGAACAGGCTTGTTTTGAAATAACTGAAACGATTATATTTTTAACCTATCTCTAGAAGCTTTAAATCTATGTATCCTACATATAAAAACTAGCTTGACAAGCTCCAGCCCAAATCTTAAGTAATTTTGTCTCTGTTACTTTTGTGGAAAGTGACAGTCCTCCCACTGTATTCTGCTGTACCTGATCTCCAGGGGAGGCTTGGTCCTGGACTTGAAGGTTAACATAACATTGACACTCCAGAGGCAATTCATCTCTCAAGCTTTCTTCTCTGATAAAAGATGACGGCTGCTTGAAAAACGTGTTCTAAAGGAAAAACAAAAACAGAAAAGAAATTGCCTAACCTGGTCAACATGTAATCATAATACTGTAGGCTTCAGTTAGAACTCCAGGGAAATGGTACCAAGTGAAGCTATACTGACACATTTTGATTTGAACAAGGGTGTTACACTTTTAGCTCAACTCTGTAGACCTTAATTTTTAAACCCAAACCATGTACAGAAGAGTCTGACAAACTCCTCAAATTTTAAATAATTTAGGATCTGCTACTTCTTCCTACATTATTCATGTAGGGGCAGTGACCACAAGGCAATTCCATGGGCTTCAGCAAAAGTTGTAATACATCTTAGTAAATTAAAACAGTCTGATTCTACAATAAGAAAAAGAACATGGTTTATAAGCCTTCTGATTCACAGAACTGATTTGACTGATACAGTTCATTAGACCAGGGACGTTTGCATCTGACTCTACACTTTACACCAATTTCTGAGAATGTCTAAAATCCAGTCGCTTTGTTTCCTGTTTCTCTCTCTCTCACTCTGCTCTACCTGATCTTTGACGAATACCTGGTCCTGGAGTTTAGGAGTCGGAGACTGATAACATGCCAGAGAAAAGTCCCCTCTCCCTTTCTCATGTATCGTATCAGAATATGGCTCCTTGAAGCGTACTTTCTAAAAGAAAAAAATACAAACTGTAAATTGTCTAGTAGGAGTAATATGATAGCAATAAGGAGGCTTTATTGAGAAGTTTACGGTAATGTTTTGTTTTTAATCCTCACCTGAGAATATTTTTATATTTATCTTCAGATAGAGTGGGAGGGAGAAAGAGGGAGAGAAAGGGACAGAGAGAGAAACATGGACATGAGAGGGACACATTGACTGGTTGCCTCCCGCACGGCTCTGACCAGGGCCGGGGATGAATGGCAACCAAGGTCTGTGCCCTCAGTCAGAATCAAACCCGCGATTCATTGGTCCACAGGCCAACGTGCTACCGCTGAGCCAAACTATCCAGGGCACAGTAATGTTTTAAACTCAGGATAATGTGAAATACTATGGAATAAAACAGAAAACCATACTTTTTGTCAGTTCTGAAGTCTAGCTGAAAACAGTGTTTGCAAGCTCCAAACTAAACCCTAAACAACTCAGTTCCTGCTGGTCTCTTTCCTTTTCTGTTCTACCTTGCCCCTGCTGGGGGCCTGATCTTGATGCCTGTAGAGATCCTCATGAACATCCAAAGGAAATACCTCTCTCTCTCCCTCTCCTACCTCTCAAAATTGATGCTGGCTGCTTTAACTTGCTTTCTAAAAAACAAACACAAAATATCAATTGTTCAGTTAAGAAAGACAGGTTAACCAATACTTTAGGCTACAGTGAGAATTCTGGAGTTATCTGAAGTCAGAGAATAACTGGACAGCTTATGGAATAAAACAAAATACTGTACTCTATTCCACTGAAGCCCAGCCACATCCCTAAGTAATTTAGTTCCTGTCGATCCCTTTCTTCTTCTTTTTGGTCTAACTGATCTCTGGTAGAGGGCTGGTCTTGGAAACTGGTAAAAGATACTGTTGGACATTTGTGGGCCATTCCTTTACCCACCTTTTACCTATCAAAGCAGATGATGGCTGCCAGAAATAGTTTCCTAATGAAGAAGAAAAAATTTTTTAAAGTAAATTGTCCAGACAGGGGTAATATGCTGCTGGTATTACTTGAAGACTTAATGAGAAATCCAAAGTTTTTAGAAATCAACCAGGAAATTATTTTTCCAACCATGAATCTCCAAATCAGCTGCAATATAGTCCCTGCAAATCTCACTCCAAACCTTAAGTAGCTTATTTTATCTTGATTTATCTTCTTCCCACTCTATTTTACCTGATATCTCGGTAGAAAATCCTGGTCCTGACATTTGGGCAGAGTATTCTGTTCTTTGGAGAAAACACACTGATCTTTGGTGAGAACATACTGGTCTCTGGGTAGAAAATTCTGGTCTTGAAATTTGAGAAGAGTATTCTGGTCTTTTGCAAGAATATGCTGGTCTTTGGGTATAAAATCCTGGTCTGAACATTTCATTATAAAATCCTGGTCCTGACATTTGGATTGAACATTCTGGTCTTTGGGGAGAGCATGTTGGTCTTTGCGTAGAAAATGTTGGTCCTGACATTTGAGTAGAATATTCTGATCATTGGGTAGAATATTCTGGTCTTTGGGTAGAAAAGCCTGATTTGGGGATAAAAAATCCTGTACTTCCAACATAATACTTCCATCTTCTAGTTCAATACTCTGGGCTTCCAGCATAATACCCTGAGTTTCTATCTTAACCACCTGGGTTTCAGGCTCAGTGGCCTGGGCTTTGGGCTCAACAGCTTGGCCTTCCACAGCTTGGCCTTCCAGCTCAACATCCTGGGTATGTGGCTCAACATTCTGGGCTTCCAGCTCAATACTGTGGACTCCTGTCAAATCACCTTGGGTTTCCAGTATATCACCTTGGGCTTCTGGAAAATAATCCTGGGTTTCTGGCAGAATATCTTGAAGATGTAACTTCGTTAGCTCATCCTCTTCCATTATAGCAAATAATGGATTTTTGAATTGTACTTTCTAAAAGTGAACATAAATATCATACACAGAATGACAGGTAGTAGCAACAGTAGGTTTTCCACAAGACTCCTAAAATAATCTCTAAAGGATATGATTGTCAAACAAATTACTGGAATAAAATGTGGAATTATAGTCTTTGCTCAGCTTAACCTAAATATACAATCCCAAACTAGTAAAACAGTACTGGCACCCCTAGTCCAAATCATAATTAGTTTAATTTCTATTATACGATCTCCTTTTACTTTACTTTACCCGAACTCTGCTGAAAAATGTGTCCTTCTTTTCAGAAAGGAGATCCTGTTGGTTACACCAAAATAAATTTTCTTTCCTTTTCTTGTCCATCATAAGAGATAAAGATTCCTCAGAGTCCGGTTCCTAAAGAACACATAAACAAAAATGAAAAAATATTTTTTAAAAACCAAAATGTATCTACTACAGGTAGAAACAATGTGACTGCAATAACATCCTAGGCTTCAGCACACTACTAATATAATTTTAGTAGGTCAGTATAGTCAAATATAAAAACAGGACATTTCAAAAGAAGTACAAAAATGTACCCTGAAAACTATAAAACATTCTTGAAATGAATTAAAGAAGATATAAATAAGTGGAAAGATCCTATCTCCGTGGATCTCCAAAGACAATATTGTAAAGACAACAATAAACTCTTACGTTTACAGTCAACTAATTTTTAATAAGTGTCCAGACAATTACATGGAGAAAGAACAGTTTTTCAACAAATGGTGTTGGGACAAGTAGATATCCACATGCAAAAGAATTAAGTTAGAACACTTCCTACCATATATAAAATTTAACTCACAGTGGATTGTAGATCAAATGTAATAGCTAATACTATAAAATTATTAGAAGAACATATAGGAGGAAATATTCATGATCTCAGATTAAGCAATGGTTTATTGGCTACCATACCAAAAGCACAAGCAACAAAAGAAAAAATAAAATAAAGTGGACTACACCAAAATTTAAAATTTTGTGCTGCCAATGATAGTATTAAGAAAATAAAATGACAACCCACAGAATGGGAGAAAATATTTGCAAATCATGCATCTGATTTGTATCTAGAATATATAAAGAACTCTTACAACCTGATAATAAAGACAACTAATTCAATTAAATTCCAGTATCACATTGACATTTTTTCCACAAGAAATATATAAATGGGCAATAAGCACATGAAAAGATGCTCAAGGTCATTAGGAAAATACAAATCAAAAGTACAATGTGATATCACTTCACACCCACTAGAATGGCTATGATAAAAAAGATAGACAATAACAAATATTGGAGAGGATGTAAAGAAATTGAAACCCTCACAAACGGCTTGATAGTTCCTCAAAAAATAATAAACATGAAGCCATACATGACCCAGCAATTACACTACTAGAGAAATGAATGTCCACACAAGAACATGTACACAACTACTCAGAGCACAATTATTCATAAAAGCCAATAAGTGAAAACAACCCGAATGTCCATCAACTAATGAATGGATATACCAAAAGTGATATAGCCATACAATGGAATTATTACTCAGCAATAAAAAGGAAGTACTGATACATGCTACAACATGAATGAACTATGAAAATATTATGCAAGGTGAAAGTCAGTCACAAAAGACCACATATTATTATTCCATTTACATGAAATACTGCAATAAACAAATCTACAGAGACAGAAAGTAGATTAGTAGTTGCTTAGGACTGGGTATAGGGACAGGGAGGGATTGAGAGTGATAGCTAACAGGTACAGGGTTTGTTTTAGGGGTAAAGAAAATATTCTAAATTATATTTTGATGACAGCTGAGAACTCTGAATATTCTAAAAACCACTGAATTGTTCATTTGAAATGGGTGAATTGTTGGTATTTGAATTATATCTCAATAAAACTGTTACTACAAAACAATACTAGGTGTGATAAGCTTAACCCTTAAACTTATCCTTCAATAGTTGTAGACAGTTCTAACAGCCTATTATTTTTTCCCTTTACTCTTTACATTTCCTTACTAGATTTTTCATAATTTCTGGTAATATGCAGTATTTAAAGGACCTTGATAAGCTTGAAAGGGTAAGTCTCCTTTTGGTCCTGTATTTATCCTGATAGATGCTGGTTTCCTACAAAGTGCTTTTTGGGGGGAAAAAAATCAATACAAATATAAAGGGTCTAAAGAAAACAGTATGCTCATGAAAGTAAGTTGAGTTTTTGTGAAAGATCTGGAGTGATCTTAGCAGGTTATGGTATATAGAATAAAGGAAAACAAATAGTTCTACTTCAAATGTACAAACAAGTCATTCACACATCAAACATATGGAGTGAAAAAGGCTGCTAGGAGATATATTAAATTTACAAATGACAATTTGCCCCTATACTAGCCAGTACCAATATCAGAAGGCCTATGATTTTTGTCTTGGTGACCTGACAGCAGGCAAGCAAGTATATCTTCTATTTACAGCTCAATATCTGAAACAACAGTAACAACCAGACAGATTCTAATGTCAGTAAAAATAAGTCTAACAAGGAAATGAAACCAGTATTTAAATAGGTTATAGATTGTTCTCCTTTCTGATGGGAAGATTCCTACTTCAGACAACTGAGGTAGAAAACTTCAGATTTAAGGGAAAGACTATACACTTGAAATAAGTGGTAAGAAAAACTTCACTAATTTCTTAATCATTCTCAATTATTTGGAGATTTGTTTCTGCTGTTATACTTGAAAACCATACATGCATTCTTTAGAATCAAGCAGCCAGCCTGAATTCATCATCATCATCATAATAATAATGTATTACACTTAAATGACACCTTTGACGTATAAAACTGGTGTTATCTCAGACTTAATCCTCCTTCCTTCTACTGGATCATTATTTTAGTTAGACCTGTGAACAGTACTCTTTGTGGGAAAACAATTGAGCAGTTTGAACATGTTCCAAACAATATAAAATATCTATCTCTATAATCTGATAACTCTTTTTTCCTGGTTTCTTAGAATGTGTCCAATCACCTCTTTCTAACAGTACCCTATAGTACAGCCAAATCCAGGGTAGGTATGAAAATTGTCAAGACACCAAGCCACTGAGAATAATTTAGGTACAAAAGAAATTCTACCTTGAGTCATAATAAGGCAATGGTTTTTAGAAAAAGTAACCATTCTGAATGCATCTAGATCCAATGCCATATATTGACACACACCAATGCCCACTTGTATTTTTATATTTAACTATAAATTTCTAAATTAACACTGGAGAGGGAGACATTATAGTTTAATAATCTACCAAATGAAAACACATAAGTGACAAATGTTTTTGACTGTTGTGTTGAGATACTTAAGGAAAAGATACAAAAATAAAAAATATATATGTATAATCCAGGAAAATGTAAAAGAATACCAATTAGGAAGCAAAACTGAGAAAGAACTAAATAAGACAGAGTTTATAATAGCAAAAAAAAATTTAAAAAAAAATAGACTAATAGTCCATTTTTCTAGTGCTGCCTATCAAAATTTGAAATTAATCCCAAAATTAAATAAACACAGGAAAGAAGAGAAGTTTAACATCCAAATATGTGAACACCAAAATAAGCAGGCACCAAAACAGTGTTATTTTACAAGTATAGCCTTAAATATCCTTTTAAGTCTAGCTTCACATTTGGGTTCCAATTATTCACTCTTACCTTATCTTCTGTATCAAAACAATTTCTTTAAAAAAATAAAAAGGTATTGTTTTCTAATTAAAAAGCAAAATATATACATGATAGAAAGTTTTTAAAGTAAAGAAAACCAAGAGAAAAAAATAAAAATCACCTATAATAAAACTACCCAGAAATAATCAGTATTAACTTCTTGGTCCACTTCTTTCCATGCTTTTGTCTACGCACATAGTATTCTATCCCCATCTCTTTATTTTACTTCATTTTTCTCATAGCACTTATCACTTGAAATTATAGTCTATACAGAATACAACAGATATCTTTTTGCTTGTTTATTATATACCTCCCCACTAGCACAGAAGCTCCTTGAGGGATCTTGTTCCATCTTTTCATCACTGTAAATCCTGCTCCTAAAACAATGCCTTAGAAACTGTAGATGTTCCAAAAATATTTGTTGGATGAATTTTTAAAATTGAGATTATATTGTATATAATTCTGTATCCTACTTTTATCACCGAACTTTATATCATAGACACTTCCCTTATCTTCAGATGTTCTTTGAAAGTATATATTTTTTAGATTGGCTATATAGATATATCGTAATTTTTAACCATTCCCTACTATTGAATATTTAAGGTTATTTCCAATTATTTTGTAGTTCTAAATAATGTTGAGATGAGATATAAATCAATCTGTATCTTTATTTTTATCTCTATTTTTAAAAATATCAGAAATCAATTTACCTCTTGGGTGGGAAAGCTTTTCCTTGTATCATCTGGAAATACTGATTCATCTTTTTTACTCACAGTTTTAAAGGATGCCAGCTGGTGACGTGCCTGTTTCATGATTTGACTAAGCTGCCAGAAAAAGGGGGGAAAAAAGCAAACAAAAAGAGTCTTTATACCAAATTCACTAAAGTGTTCCAACAAGAAAACAGGTCCCTATTATTAAAAAATGCCAGACCTAAGACAAGAGGATTACTTGCAAAGGAGACTGTAATCTGTTTTTACTACATTACTTTTATTATTTTAAGAGACTGCATTTCATAACTTGACTTTAAGTACTATTACTAAAATTGGGTTTTTTATTTTAAATCAATTTTATTTAAAAAAAATACACACACACACACAAATAGGCCAAACAACACTCAAACCTGAGAAGGCTGCAATCTTTTTAAAGAACTTAATAGTCCAAAAAGACTAATACTTATTTCTGATTCAGCACATAATATCAGCCCTCTTTAAGGAGCAACACAATCACTAGCAAACATCTTATGGCCCCCTTTTATTGGTATTAGATTCAATGAGCAATGAGCCACAGCCTTGCCCTCCAGGAGCTTACAGAGTAGCTGGAGAAACCAAAACATCCAGAACATACACAAAGTCCACACGTTTATCACAACAAAAGCAAATACTGGCCTAAGTCATCATATGTTTTAACAAATATATACTATATCAAGTTTCAAACCTGACATACAAAAAAAAAAAGTTTTTATTTTTTGTTCAATCAAGTTTCAAATGAATTGAATTGAAAGAGGAAAACACAATTCCAAACCAAGTGTACCATGAAGTTTATTATTCATGTCCCAGCATTCCTCCATGGTTCTACATCCAGAAGTCAAGACTGCCAAAACAATGTACAAATTCAGACAGTGAGTAAATAGCTCCCCACCCCACCTCAAGGTCCATATTGATAAAAATCATTCAGGTTCATTTTGGAATCTCCAGTTTGAATGCAGGGGCATGATGGAGAAGACTCTCTAGTTTCCACTGGAATCTTTCATGTGATATCAGTCAGAAGCGAAGTTTTTCAAATAAGAATCTGTGCACATAACTCTAAATTTCCTTCTAAACTGTGGATGGATGTCCTCATCAGACTTAAAGGAATCTTCCACATAAGCATCAAAGGGACAGGGAAATGGCAGGACAGTGTCAAGATCATAAATGAAGCTCTGTGCTGCACTAGAAACATGAAGCTAGACAACATGGTAACCAGTTCACAGGTCCATCTCCAGGTCTTGCCTGCTGTTTCCAGATAGATATCATCTTCCTCTCATTAGATATGAAGACAAAGTAAGACTCTTCTAATGGATACTGGTCACGGTTTTTGGTGTAATCACAGAGCTTCCAAATATTTTCTTCACATTCGCAGCTGTGGTAAACACAAGCGTCCCCGCAGGGGGCTGGCCAGCTGGTACTGGGCACCTGTGACAGCGAAGACATCCCCCTCTATGGTTGGCCTGAGGCAGACCAACTAGACCAGCCCCACGGGGCGGGCTTTGGGGAAGGAGCTGGGGTATCTCAAATAGTTATTTGTTTTTTAAATCCTTACCTGAGGATATTTTTCTATTTATCTTTAGATAGAGTGGGAGGAAAAGGGAGAAAGAGAAACATTGATGTGAGAGAGACATCTAGACTGGCTGCCTCCTGCACGACCCTAACCAGGGCCAGGATGAACCACAACCAAGGTACGTGCCCTTGACTGGAATCGAACCCGCATCTCATTGGTCTGTGGACTGATGCTTTACTGCTGAGCCAACCAGGACTCAAATTGTTTTTTAATAATATATGTTTTATACTTTGTACACAAAAATATCAGAACCTAAAAGTTTGAATTAATATACTAGAAATTATCCGACACATTCCTTACCTTCTATCCATCTTCTCAATAAGGAATTATTTCTTCAACTGGTCCGTGCATGCCTAATTACCTTTATATCACTCCTTGCTAAATGTCTCTAATTCCTAGTCCTCCTAAAATCCTTTCTTCCTATTTATGTGAACCCCTTCTTCACCCCTACATTTGAAGACTGTAGCTATATAAAGTTTTTTCTCAAATCTCCCTTCTTCCAGGAAGCCTTCCTACTAACTGAGAAAACAAACTCAAATATCTCAACAGAACCGCCCTGGCCGGTTTGGCTCAGCGGTTAGAGCGTCGGCCTGCGGTCCGGAGAGACCCGGGTTCGGTTCCCGCTAAGGGCACGTACTTCGGTTGCAGTTTGTCCCCGGCCCTGGTTGGTCGTGCAGGTGGCAGCCACTCGATGTGTCCCTTCACATCGATGTTTCTCTCTCTCTCTCCCTTCCTCTCTCTCCCTCCCACTCTATCTGTACAAAAAATGGAAAAATACCCTTGGGTGAGGATAAAAAAAAAAAAAAAAAAATATCTCAACAGAACCAATTAGTTTTAAGTACTCTAAGTAACAGTTGATGAGTATTAATACCAAATGTTGACTTTGTATTCATTCCATCTCTACCTAGTAATTTCAGTAAGCACCTATTTTGATTTCTTTTTCAGAGAAGTAAAGCCTACTCTATATTTCACAAATCTGTATAAACTGTTCCTTTAAGGAAAATACAGAAATAAAGTATCTTTTTTTTAGGCTGAACACTATATATCATATGGAAGAACAGTATATTCCTATACACTCAGTGAAATTATGGCAAAGCAGGGACCAGTTCTAACCCAATCCCTGAAAAGTTTAATAAGATTAATTCTCCCTTAAAGGGAAATCATGACTGTGATTGATAGATATAAATACTAAATACTGTTAGAATTTTTACTAATAGTGAGCTAGGGACAAAAAAAAAAACTCTCTCACTACCCAACCAGTTTCCTCACAACATATCACCTCTGTTTTGTCCTTGTTTCTAGAAGGTCTGTACCTCTAGTCAGAGAAATCAGCTTGAAACATCACTATTTTACTAGGAGGGAGATTTCTACATTTGGTTGGCACAGAGTGGTTAAAGGGATCTTGACAGAGTTACATTGTAAAAAGAGATACGTGCAGCTGAGGTTATAAAAAAATACAAATCCATGAATATGCCTGCTTTTTACTCTTTGCCAAGTATGATGCATGTTATTGCCCCACATAATGTAACAGGTTTAAATTAAGGTACATAATTTTCATTTCCCATCGAGTCTAAACCTCTGTTAAGAGTCACAGATTGATTTTAGTCTCTTAAGCAGGAATTTCAACTGGCCTAGCAGTTGAAACACACATTATATTCATTCTGTTTCTCTGTCATTACCAAAACCCTTCACCAAACCTCAACCCAAAGCCCCTTTCGATGACCTGCTATGAGGACTGAACAATAACTACCCAAAGATATCCGGTCCTAATCCCTAAAACCTTTAAGTGTTTCTTTAAAAGGAAAAAGGGCCTTTGCAGATGTGATTTCCCTTTAAGGGAGAATTAAGTTAAAGATCTTGAGATGAGGAAATAATACTGGATTATCCAGATGGGCCCTAAATGCCATCACAAATATCCTTATAACAGGTAGGGGAAGATTTGACATTCAGAAGAGGAGAATGTGATGTGAAGACAGAAGCAGAGGTTGGTATGACATGGCCACAAGGAAAGGAATGACAGTAGACATCAAGAGCTACAAAAGTCAAGGAACAAATTTTCTGCTAGAATCTAAGGAAGAAGTACAGCCCTGCTGACATCTTGATTTTGGCTCAGTGAAACCGATTTTGGACTTCTGGCCTTCAGAACTGTGAGAAAATAAATTTCTGTCATTTGAAACCACTAAGTTTGAGGTAATTTGCAATAGCCACAGGAAACTAATACAAGGACCAAAATTAATTTTAATAAGCATTAAACAAAAACACAGAAAATACGGGGATGCTACAAATCATGTTTTTACATATGATTAAGTATATAAGTATATTTCTCTTATTACAAGATAATGGTGATCACTACATATATTTGTATGTATATGTATGTGTGTATATATATGCTCTTGTATGTACACATATATAATGTATTTATATATATGTTTATACATATGTATATGTGCATGTGTTTTATGTATGTGACTATTCAAAACCTAGTGTTTGACCAAAAGTCTTTTCTATACTCAAAGCTTAGACACAGTTTCCAATCTTTTATTAATAAAGACTGGCACTAAAGCTTTATCTGAGACTTAAAAACTCCCTGATGAAAACGAGTTATTCATAATTATATAGAAAACCTAACAAATATAACTATCGACTAACAAAGGGATTTCTGACTGATAAAATAAAAATGTACTATATAAATTTTGAAGTTTAAATCTTAAAATCTAAAGCAAACAATGATCATATATTAAAACAAAACTTAAAACTTCAAATAAGTAGGATATAATTTGACAAATACATAGAGAATATATCTATGGCATTGTTCCCCATTCATGGTTCATATTTTCTTCAGTTCTTTTTAATTTGTTCATGTATTTTTTATTAGACAATTAGGGATTAGAAAGAAGGAATTTATATGTAAACTATATAAACGAAACTGTGTAGTAATACTATGCAGGTCATGGGGAAAGGAGTAGAGATGACTACTGTCTTTACACAATTTCACTTTATTGCCATGCAGGCCTATACGAGTTTTATTTTTGTTATTTTTTATTTAAAAAAATTTTTTTCTTTATTGATTTTTTTAAATACTTTTTTATTAATTTATTTTTGTTACAGATGTTTCTCCTTTTTTTTCCCATTGACACCTTCCTCCCCATCCCTCCCCACCCCATACCCTCTTTATTGATTTTAGAGAGAGAGAGGAAGGGAGAGGGAGAGATAGAAACATCGATGAGAGAGAACATCGACTGGCCACCTCCTGCATGCCTCTCACTGGGGATTTGGCCCACAACCTGGGCATGTGCCCTGACCAGGAACTGTACTGGCAACTTCTTGGTACATGGGTCGACGCTCAACCACTGAGCCACACCAGCGAGCAATACCAATTTTAAATAGATGTTAATGCCATAAAAATCTACCCAACCTTACATTCAAAGTACAATGCAGTTTATTTGCAACTGATAGCAAACTGGTTTTTATTTTTTTTTATTTTTTTTTTTTATCCTCACCCGAGGAC